TTTTTAGTTTGCACGCAATATCCTCATATTTGCGGTGAACGTGCCCAAAACACACCGCTCATTACATACCAGTCGGATCACCCGGCTGCCGCCGGGTGCTCCTCCTTCTTTTTCACGGCCCGGCTTCGCCGGGCCGACCTGGCTTCGCCAGGCACTCTTTCCTTGGGCGAGGTACCGAATAAGCCAAATGGTGGCAGTAATTTTTTTATTGAAATGTAGGAAAATGAGTTGAAAAGAGCTCAACATCAGTCATTATCTACCAACATCTGGTCCCCTTGCTTACTACAGACTTTCAACCGTGAGAAGGCTGCACCATATCATTAAGGACCGCAGTTGCCACATCAGAATGGGTAAAGTTGAACTAAGTTCAGGATGAGCCTTTAACCACGGAAGAGGCACAGTTGCGGAGTCACGGGTGGCATTGAAAAAGAGAACTTTACGTCGCCTGTTTACATCACTTGTTTACGTCAAAGTCCGTGTCGCGCGGAGAGCCCAAATGTTATCACCGACAGGACCTCCCCACTCCCAGTTGATGGGTTCCCTCCTTAGTTTGCTTCCTTTGTTTCAGCTACGACCGCCATCCTCATAAATAAATATATCAGGCAGATTTGTCGAAAATTATTTTGATCGCTGAATTTCCCGATTTTCCCGTTTCCGCCGGACTATATACCAAAACCCCATGATGGGAAGCGGAACTCTTTCAATCACTGGGTTGCTCATACGGCGCTGTATTGGTCGAATCATAACAGATAGAGCAACCCTGCGGATCCTGCACTCCTTAGCAAACGCTTATACTTGCGGTCCGCGCCATAACGCCCATACAATACATAGACCTATAGATATAGATACAAAGTGCAGTCGATCAATACAGCGCTTGCTGAAGTATAAATAATTGTGGGTACTATACTCCCTTATTATTCGTTCTCATCAGTAATTGAAAGTTCGAAAGAAAAAATTTGCAAAATTTTTTTGACTTTCCTGTTGCAGGCGTACTACATACCCCTCCCCCCACCGCTAGTAGTCATGGATGTGGTTAGAATGCCCTTTTATCCTTTTTATCAATTGATAAGATTGCCTGTCACCCGTCAACAATGTCCTATCACTAAAACTCTATAATTTGGTAGTGTAAAGGCTCCAGCACTTTGACTGAACAACAACGGCAACGTTCCTTATCAGCCCCTATCAGCTGTTATCACTTCCCGTCACCCGCCGTCGCCGTCCCCACCTCCTTTATATCATTTGCTGAAATCAACGCCTAGCTGATGCTGTGTCCCGCGTTATGGATATGGTGACCTTCCCCATTCTAACTCCCCTTATCAAATCTTATCAGCTGCTAGCAGTTCTTGTCACCCACCAATGATATTTCCTGTGCCATAGCCTATATCATACCTTGGAACAAACGTCCCAGTGTTGCTGTGACCCGCGCTATGGACTCGGTAACCATCACCTTCTAACGCCTCTTATTGGGCCTTATCAGCTGATTACTTCCTACCACCCACCAATAGTGTTCTGGTCACAGCTTGTGCATTACTGCTTGGAACCAACTTCCTACAGCAACTGGGACGGTCGCTATGAATTTCGTGACAGACAGACGGACGCACACACACAGACATACTTAGCGGATTATATATAGTAGGATGAGTTCATTTTCTAGTGTTATCAGGAAAGTGATGGCTAAAGGAAAAGTTTCACACACTGAGCCTCTAATACTCGGCATTAAAGCGGTAAGAAGTGATAAAAATGTAGCGCAGATGGTATCTTATCTGTTTTTATCGATTGATAAGATTACCTGTCACCCGTCATCAATGTCCTCATCACTAAATCTCTATGATTTGGTAGCGTGAACCACCTTGAACAGCGACGACGACTGCAACTTCCTTATCAGCCCCTATCAGTAGTTATCGCTTCTAGTCACCCACGGTTGATGTCCCCATCTCACTCTCTATATCACTTGCTGAAACGTACGCCTCGCTGATGCTGTGACCTGCGCTATGAATACGATGACCTCACCTTTCTAACGCCCCTTATCGAATCTTATCAGCAGCTTACAGTTCTTGTCACCCACCAATAATGTTCTTGGCCCATACCCTATATCATATCTTGGAATCAAGAGCTAGCTGATGCTGTCACCCGCGTTATGAATATGGTAACCTTCTCCTTCTAACGCCCCTTATCGAATCTTATCAGCAGCTTACAGTTTTTGTGACCCACTAATGATGTTCTTGGCCCATATCATATCTTAAGAATCAAGAGCTAGCTGATGCTGTCACCCGCGTTATGAATATGGTGACCTCCCCTTCTAACGCCTCTTATCGGATCTTATCAACTGATATCACTTCCTGTCACCCACCAATAGTGTTCCCGTCACACCCCCTACATCACTTCTTGAAATCAATGTCTCACTGCTACTGGGACGAGCGCTATGAATTTCAATATATCTTACAATAACAGCTATGAATTTCGTGACAAACAGACGGACGCACACACACATACACACAAGTATAGACATACTTAGCGAATTATATATAGTAGGATATCTGCTTGTGTAAATATGTCTGTATGTGGATGAGTAACGACATTCATAGCGACCGTATCAGTGGCAGTGGGTCTTCGCTTCCAGGGTATGTTAGACTACTTGTTGGTGACATTAATTGGCATCAGCTGATAAGATCTGACAAGAGACCTTTAGAAGGAGAGTGTCACTAAACTTATGGCGCGTGTCACATCGTAAAGGGGACGCTGGACCTAAGAACAGATAAAGGGGGGAACACCACCGATGGATGAGAGGCGATGAACGCAGTCCACCGTGATACAAAGTGGATGCCATCAGCGGGTGGTGTCTGGAAGTAATAACAATGTGAAGGCGGCAATGATAAATTTTAGCGGCGAAAACTGCTGCAGTCCAGTTCTCTGAGGATGAAGGTCGCGTCAAGCGGGCCGAGTTTGCGCAGTGTCAAAACCGCTCCTCACGAGCTGTTGAAGTGAGAAGGTGACAAGGTTGCATCACATCGTCCATATCACTCGTTTTCCACCAAAAATTGTCGCATAACCACTTCATAAGGAGCACAGAACTTGTTTGGAGCCGTGGCACATCCATCGTGCCTGACGTGCCCCTTCATTCGCAGTCAACCAGAGTATACACTGTTCACGAAAGCAATACCACGCGTATGGGGCAATTATCGTCGTCTCTTCAATGGGTGTGCAACTCGTTTTTCCTCCTTTATCTATTTTCCTCCTTTATCTACTAAAACGTCATATCCGGCCGCTTAATAAGCTGTATTTCACTTTCATGTTCAAGAATTTGTGAGAGCAGCAAACGATTTATCTCTGATACTGCAGTAGCTTTCGATGATAAGATCAGTGAGTACCATTTGAAGCGTCATAAGCTGCTTTTGAAGGTGCATGTGAGAGTGAGACGCTTCAAGGACAGCGATTGCATCAAGCAGCAGCGGGCTCAAGCGGGCAAGACGTGTGATATTACGATGCGCTTCAGCGACCGATTTGGTAAGCTGCTGAGGTTATCATATAGGCTGTGGAGGTATCTCGCTGCTAATCCGTGGGGAAGAACACACAACGAAATTTTTGCTGTTTTGTTATGATAAGCTGCTGTTTAACGCCGCAGTACGCGTTCCGAATGTTATCACAAGAATGCTGAGTTGTGGGCAAAAGTCGTGCCCCAGGCGGGAGTCGAACCCGCACCTCACGCTTTCCGGGCGAGTGCGCTATCCGTTACGCCACCAGGGCCGCTTTTACCCCAGGGCACATCGTTGGTTGGGGAATCCCCAACAGGGGGGTCGTATTTGGCCGCCAGGAGAGGGGGGTCGTAATGAGTGCGGTAGCCAGTAACGAGCAGCGCAAATTGTCAATGTGCTGAGTCCTGTACAGCGAAACTTGCTTTGTAGAGAACTCGGATATGCAAAAAAATAGTACAAAACTTTCATTCATCAAACTAATCCGAAATAACTGCAAATATTAATAAGTCGACATCATCTCGTAGGTGTTGCGGGTGCTGTGAGACTAAGGGTTAGTTTAACCCTTTTACGCCAAATGGCTTGGTGGTTCAGTGGATAAGGTTTGCGAGAGAGAGAAGTGAGAGGAGCACAACCTTTATCTGGCGAACACAGAAAGAACAGTGAGTAACATGTCGTCTGTTTGCTTAACTACAACTCTGCCCCGCCCCCGAAGGTTGAGGTCGAAGGGCATCATCGGCGACGATGATACTCCCCGGGGCGACAACAATGAAATGTCAAGCACAAATTCCTAGCGACATAATGGCACAGTACAAGACACGAAACAAGTTCTTTGCTGAATAGTAATGATTGCTGTTGTTGATTGAAGGCCATTTTTGAGGTTTGAAGTCGTCGGGGAGCGTGCGATGTTGAGCGGTTGTAGATGTCGACGGCGATTGAGGTTGCAGGGGGAAGTTGTTGGCGGCGTTGAAGTTGCAGGAAGAAGTTGTTGACGGCGATTGAGGTTGCAGGGATGTTGGAAGGTGAAGAGATGAAGATTGGTGGTGTGATTTTTGCAGCCATGGTAAACGAAGGTAAAAAGGGCTGAGAGCTATTGAGCATTGCTCTTGCAACTTGACCACAGACTTTTATTTTTAGTTTTATGTACAACTGCGTACCGAGTAGATCAAAAGATCGCAGGACGGTTGAATATGAATATTGACGCCTATATACAAACCCGCGTGTTATACGGAGCGGGAAGCTTCGCAGCATCTCCGAATATGGAGATTAATTAGGTTCCGACTAACCGTCGGCGGAGTAAACCGGTATCCTCCGTATAAAAAAGGAAAGCCGGCTGAACTTACCTACATGGGGTTCATTTTTGGATGCGGGATCGCGCAGATCCTGCTTTTTGCCGATATCATGCAGTGGTGATATCGGCAGTCGAATTCTTTACCCACACTGCATCCCAACAGCAAATGATTGTATTCCAAACAAACTTGAGGAAATTGATGATGACTGAGTTAACTGACGCAAACAAATAGAGAAGCATCATTGGTCCTCCAAATAGGTTAACGCTAGCAAACCGGATACGGTACCAATAGCGGCCAGAGTTAGTTTCCAGTGCCCTGTAATGGCATCCAATAGGGGATCTATATTCGGTATGGTAATATCCGAAAACCATTGATGTTTAAGAGGAACTCCATGAGTATCAATCCCGAACGCCGAGACGTCCAGCGGATTGAGGAGGTGGTAGTGTAGTGTACCGTTCAAAAGGAATTTAGTTGGCCTATCAGAGCAATGAGCGCTACATTGCTCGTGTACTGTAGGATGAAGTGAAGGATAATCTCATTCTCTTCGTCTGAAGGTCCGCATTTGACTAAAAATTGTTGAGTCTGGCAAGTAACTGTGACTGTAGCCTCCAGTGATGACTTGCAAATGGCTGTGAAATGCGCTCCCAGCGTACAGTCGTAACAGCCCGTGAGCTTCGAAATCTTGAAGCCACACTCTTGATTAATAGTCAGTTCAGCTACCACATCTTGCAGCATCTTTGACTCGATTCGTAGTACCATTTCCTCCTCGTTGGACGTAGCAACGATGCTTCCTTCACGAACCATGATGTTCGCGTGAGGAGTTTTTAGAGGTAGTATACTTTGTGGGTTTTCACAAATCTTATGGAACGAATCGTGTGGACACTGACAACTGTAAGGCGAACTTCCACAGCTGCACTGAACTCTGTTGGAACAAGTATTGAATTCCTGCAGTGCTTGAGTTGGTGTGCTGCATGCGACCGGAAGTTTGAAGTTAGGTGGTAACATATATGCCTCATCCTTCGAAATGGCAAAGCGCTTGTTCTCTAAAGGGTACAATGGCCTTTGGATTGATATCACAGTAACATTGAAGTTGTCAATGTTAGTAGCCATATATGGAATAAATGACTGCTCAACTTTTTTTGTTAGATTTGCGATTGTTATTTCTATGTCTAATTTCACCGTAGTAGTCCAATGAGGACATTGTGTTATTTCAAAGATCCGGTCAGATACTGGTCTGTGGGCGATTTTATAGAACCAGCAGCTAGGTAAAGGCAGGAAGCATCCACAGAACATCCCTCCGCAACTGTTCATACAGCCGGAGTATCCTGGATATTTTGCACTGCGACTCAACTCCGGAACCGTTTCATTTTGCTTTAGCCTGTCGCATTTGTTAATGCATGAACCCGCATTAGCGCAGCGTTTAGATTGATATATTGTTGACTTCGTCGGTCTAGTGAAAAATTCTGTTACTTTCGAACACTCAAATTCCACAGCTTTTTTGACGAACTTGGCCGATCCAACGGTTTTGTTGGCATGTAGGATTTCAATACACAACTCCGATTGGAGCCTGTTGAATAAGAGCTCTCTGCTATATTCTAAATGACATCGGTTGTTTTCATTGCACACGAGGTCAGCCGAGTGACGCATGAAACCGTACTGACATGCGCCTGTGGACGATACTAAGCACACTAGGGTGCATAATGCAATCACAGCACTAGGGAGTGGTGTCAATTCAAAACTACAAGCTGGTGCTGATGGTGCATCTGTTTCACTGTCTTCCGGTCTTATCATTGATCTGTGAGATTTCATCTTTCTAGTGATTTTGACGGCCACCCATGTAGCAAACATGAGTGCCGCTATAATGAGATAAATTAACACTGCTGAAGTAGCGATTGCTCCAGCAGGCCAGCAGTGGGGGTTTCCCAGTAAGCTTTTCGAAAGGAGATATTGATGTTCACAAAACTTTGGTCTGTCACAAAGCCAGTGTTGCTCTTGTACTCCGTTTGCGCCGAGGGTACGTAAGTGCACATTAGCTCCTTTTTCAGTCGGAGATATCGGTAGTAAGTATTTGATGTAGCGTGTGGTGTTATTCATGGATTGGCAATCGTTATCGATGCACAGTTCAAACCAGCCCTTGATGGGTGGCACGCTAATTACGCCATTTGAACAAGATATGATGGAAGAGTTATTGATTGCCATTGTCGGGCTAATTAGTACTGACAGTGATATTGCAAAGAATACCAATGACGATGATATGGATGTCATCACATATGATTGGCTTGAATCACCATCCATGTTGCGGAAAAGGTCATATGCGCGTACTTTTGAGGCTCGGGGAAGGCTTTGCCTCGTTTCTACCGTGATCTTTTTTGGGCCCTTGTTCATACTGCTAGTTGTGGGCAGTTCCTCGGTAGCATTTTGTGCTGCTTCTTGGTCACAGACCTGTTTTTCGGACATACTGCGTATCTCAAGAGGATAGATTTTATTTCAGTGGCCTGTGAATGACATTGTGATTTGGCGTTAGTATTTTCGCTGACCTCACGAAGCCATCAGGCGAAGTGATAATCTCGGTCACTCTGCCGTAGGGCCAATTTCCTCTGGGTATGAGGTCTTGCTCGATTAACACAATCTCGCCAATTTCTGGACAGGATCTGGTTAGGTGCCGAGGTTGTTTCAACAACTGTTTCTGCATTTCTCTAAGAGAGGTAAGGTACTCATGCCTCCAACATTCCCAGAATTTATCTGATATTGTTTCTGAGTTGCGTATTGCCTCTAGGGCCTGTTCTCTAGATTGTATCAGTTCAGGATCATAGGATGGATCTCCTATACTTTCAAAATTTTCGCTTTTCGGGAGAGAAAATTTGACATCGTGTTGAAGGAAATCGACTGGACGTAAGGGTATTTTTGTAACGTCCTCCGGGTTGAGTTTTGTCAAAGGCCTTGTGTTGAGAATTGCTTCTATTCTTGCCATTATTGTCGACATCTCAGTGAAGCTCAGCCTTTTTCGTCCCACTGATTTGTTCAGCGCCTTTTTGACGGAAGCGACTAGTCTTTCCCAAACGCCTCCCATCCAAGGGGACGCCGGTGGATTGAATAACCATTTTATCCCTTTAGTTGACAATAGGACATCAAAGAATTCCCTGAGGATTCGTCATTCTCAAACATTGTGGCGATTATCTGCTCGCCTTGTTTGAAGTTTGTTCCACAGTCAGTACGCATTAGTTTTGGGACGCCTCTCCTCGATATGAAGCGTATGAAACTGTTTAGGAAAGCGCCTGTTGTCATATTTTCCACAACTTCGAGGTGCACAGCTCTGGTGGTTAAGCAGTGTACAGGGCTACATAAATTTTGTCTTCGCTCTTCGAGGTAAAGGGACCCATGAAGTCACATCCTGTGTTCTCGAATGGTTTTGATGCGACCACTCTATCTTTGGGGAGTGCGGGCATCATAGGTGCACCAAGCGGTAGGCCTTGGTATTTTTTGCATATGACGCAATTTTTCACGTACTTCTTGAAGGCGTTTGAAGGCCGAGGGATCCAAAACTTCTGACGAGCTATAGTGAGTGTGTGTTCCTTTCCACAGTGAGCATTATCACGGTGTATTTGTTGTACGATCAAGCGGACCAGTTCCGATTTTGAGGGTACAAATATAGGCGATTTCGTGTCTCGAGGTAAGGCGGAATTTTGCAAACGAGATTCATGTCTGATGATATTGTTCTCATCTCGAACAAGTTTTTTATCGAGGAAGCGCTTCTGAAGAGCTTTGAAGTCTTCCTGGCTCTTTTCTTGAGTTATAATAATCCGTTCAGCGAGCTCGATATCAGTACTGGTTATTTCCTTTTCTTTAGTGAAATTCGAGACTGCCCTCAGTTCTATCTTCAGAGGGCGATTTCTATTTGTTAACTGGACCCAGTTATGTGTCGCTTTCCCGACTTGAGCCACTATTCTGAGTGTTTTAGAAAGGTTGGAGTAACGACCGAGATCGAAAAGTACTTCATTACTCCCAGTTTCTGGAGCGCTCTTGATATTCGGCAGAGTGATTAACTCTTCCTCTTCCGGAATGATTTGAATTGAATCTAATTTCCTAAGTGGCCATGTTTCCGGACATTTTCTAGCCAGCGCGGGCCTTTCAGCCAATCATACAACCAACTACCGCTCTATTATGCTTGCGAACGTTCCTCGCTTCAGCGGCGGAGCCATTGGTCATTTTGGGTTCACGTTATTGATTGTCACCTTCTGCAAAGTGCCTGTGGGGGGGGGGAGGGTATACACATATCTGAGCACAGTGAGACAC